ATTTATGCATGGTAAATCTGTTTTATATCCAAATATTGTTCTACGAAATTCGTCTACGTATTCCAGGACTTGTCCATGTCCGCCTCATTCATATCTTCAATACATTTAAGTTATTGTAGAGGAGTTTCCGGCTATAATGTAGTACGTTTTTATTTGATTTGGAAATTCTAGATCTCTGCAATGTTTTTTATTATACGATGGCGTTTTGGGTATTTGTTGTCAACGTTTCAAAACTGAATTTGTATTTGGTATTCGTCCTGTAACAGAAATTTACTCATGCAGATCCACGTCTTAGTTCGAATTTTGATGATTTTAAAAACTTTGTTGAACGGAATTGTTTCAACATTGGTATTTTGTATAAGTAACATCTTCCCTGATCGAATTTTACCTACATAGGCCACAGTTTTAGCACATCCCCTATATAATGTTGTCTCCTGATACTCTGAATTTCTATTATTTGTATCAAATTCTATCAATGTTTGTATTTTGGCTTCGTAATAGATAGCACCTCTTATAACAGGAAATTGCCCATACAGGTCGACGTGTTAGTATAGCCTTCATATAAAGATCCCGTATTTTGATGATTTTAGTCACATTTTTAGTTCGCCATAATTATTACAAACAATGTCAGTTGATGCAGGTTCATGTTTCCGTATGGATATATTTTAAAACACATTTTCAACGGAATTTTTGGAAATTTTATATTGCAATTTCCTAATAACATAATAAATATATACCACTAGAATACTAGACTTGTAGACATATTTTCAAAAGTGTTTTTTATCAAATGGTGGCTCGGCGAAATCAACTGCTTCGTACTTGATTATATTAATTTTTTTGGTCTTTCAGGTAACGTTTTGTATTACTTTCTGCCAAAAGTTTTCACATTGCTTTTGTTTCAAATTGTTATACAAAAGCACTTGTCGCTACTTTATATTCTTATAATATGGTTAAATGTTTGGGATTTGAGGTATTAAAAATTGGCCACACCTCTTTTTTCAATATTTTAATTTCCTATCGAATCAGTAGTAAGTTAACACTTTGAATTACAGACATATAGAGTCTACTCCCGCAAATTTTGTTAATGCCTTTTTGTATATTTTATATAGCTATTTAAAAGTTACACACGCATTAGCTATATCTTGGTATGAATTCCATATATCGGCACCACTTGATTTCGACAATTTTTTAATATTTATCAGTCAATTTTAGAGTAATTTTGTAGTTCAGTTTTATGGACCATAGACCGACAGTTCAAGCCGAAGCGTATTGATTTTTGAAATCTAAATAACTGTTCATAAAACGTGTTTGATGTTGGAATAGGTCCCATTTCATTGAGTCGCTAGATTATTGATATTTTGAAGATCCTTGCCATATTTTCAAACGAATAGGAGGTCAAGTTTTTACATTTTTCAAATACAAAATTATCTTCCAGATGTAACCACAACTCAAATCATTTTAGTCGTTTCTGCAGGTTAGTCGCTTAAGACAAGTCCAACATAATTATTATCAAATTAATAAAAAAAAACTGTGTCATTTCCTTGGTGAAAACTTATTTGATTTTTTTTTTTTTTTTTTTTTTTTGTTTTTTGAATATGTGTTTTTTAATTGATCACTTTTTTTACAACTGTTAGCGTTTTTAATAAAATTACGATATATCAATTAAAGTTTTCTTTGTTTCAATTTCGTTTTTTATATAAATATTTTATTTGTCACTTCATACACTTCTTCTGGAAATTACGTTTTTTTTTAATTTGAGATGTTTTTGTATATTGTTTAACACAACTGCATCACCATTTTCAATTATTTACAAAAAGTACTATGTCATCCCGAAATTCCCATGTTTGGGTTGTTATCCGAAATTTCTCGAAACTATTAGCAAAACTTCTGATTTTTCTTTTTTTATATTTCCTTGTCATGGCTCAGAAAAGAGGATAATGGTGGAATTATATCGACATTTTCCCACGATTTATTTTTCAAATATATTGAATATATTGATTTTCTAAGGAATGGATAATAAACTATTATTTAAGTTTTTTATTTAAAAAGTATTGTTTTTAGAAAATAAAAATTAAGACACCAAGCATTTGTGTTCCATTCAATATTATTTAATTTCACAAATTAGATTAAGATATTAACGAATTGATTTTTTCTTCGATTCCTTACAATTATAATCAGCATATTGTTTACATTATCTTTTTAATTAATTATGATACATTTGCATCTTTTTTCACTTTTTCATTTAACCAAAAACATTTTGTGTTATACCTTTTCCTTGGAAACACTGCAGCGATTGATAAGAGAGAGGTAGGTTTTTTTCTTCATCAATTTATTAGAATTATTTATTTTTGCTTCTTTTTTCTTCGATCAACTTTTGTTTACATTTTTTTATGCTATTCTGTTGTCATGCACTTGAACTACAGCAAGAACGAAAAGAAAAATATTTTTCTTTAATTCCTTAAATTATTCACTTGTCATTTTTTTTCTTGCTGTATTCTATCTGATCTGACAGACACACAGTGGTCTTCTTAATTGAAATAACAATAAACGCGCGCGTATCATTGACGTACACAAAGACTAGCTCAACGTTTATTTCGGCCTGAATCCAACGAACGATTAAACGGGAGACAATGCAGTTAATTTCATTTGAGCAAGAACGTCAACGACGACAGAGCGACCACACAACAAGGAGTGTTTTGTTTCACATGTCAAGTTGTTCCCCCACTGGGCACAAAAGGCAGTTGAAGAATGATAACAAATGTTGAACTTGCGCTTTTGCACGTTGTTCTTCTCAGGCAGGTTAACTCTCAGGGTTTTCGATTTACTCTTGAAATAAGCATTTGTTATCACTCTCTGTAGTTGATTGCTGTTCTTTGTACTTTTATCCTTTTATGTTTTCGTTCTCTTTGTTTTGATGTTTTCCAGTTTGTTTTTTTTTTTTTTTGCACATGCATATTATCACCGCATATCGCACATATTTCATTTACACTATTCTCGTTATAGATGGAGTAGCACCATAGGGTTGCCATGATGCTATGCTGCTTAAATAGCATCACCTTAATATATTTAGCTGTTTTTTTCTTCTAAGGTATCACATTTTTTTGTAATTATTTTCAAAAAAAAAATAAATCAAATGGATTTTTTATATGTACAAACTAAAAATTTACAAGCGTGAAAAGCCTATAACAATTTGGGTTTATTTGACGTGTTTAAGTTCATTGCCCATGAACAGGTCTCACATAAAGCCCCACTGACAACCAAGTTTTGTTACGATAACCGATGTTCACCGAGAATGTAAACTAGAAAATAAAACCAATTTGATTGAAGCATGGATAAATAATTCATTTCCTGGGCCAAAAATTGCCATTGACATTGACAATGTTTTCTTTAGTTAGCTTCCTGTGTAAATTAAATGATTTTGAAACAATATGTTGTAATATTAAATTCCCTATAAAAAACCTTAAACACAAGCACAAATTACTAGATTTTATCACTCGGTCCTTAAAATATATACAGTATGTCACTTACTACTTTACACATATTTATATTTTTCAATTTATATCTTAAAAAATCAAAAAAAAAAAAAAAAAAATTAAAATAAAACAAGTAAAAAAGCTGTAAGCTGTAAGTTCGGCCGGCCCGAACTTTGAATACCCTCCACCATTTGAAACGAATTTGGCAATTCTCAAAAATAATTAAATCCGTTAAAAAAATCTGTTAAAATCTTAAAAATACCGAATGTAGATGTTTTATTAGGATCTATGCGAATCTTAAAAGAAAATCGGTGAATAATAATGTAAAATCATCAAAATACCGAATGTAGGGAGGTACCGTTATATAGGGGCTATACGAAGACGTGGACTTGCACAGACAATTTTCTGTCATAGGCTGTAGAATCCGTTACGAACTTCAAATACCAAATATGAAACAATTCCGGTGAATAATGTCGCTAAAAACATCAAAATCCCGAATTTCGGGAGGAACTGTTATATGGGCCTGCAGACATAATATACATTTGAGTAAAATTTTATCAATCTACTTCATTTCGTTCGTAAGCTATTCAATTTTCGCGATTTTTTATATATTCAACATCATAATAATTACGACATTACAATCCATATAGGTAGGCCTCATTACTGACAACAATTTCCAACCTAGCCTACCTTCTCTTCATTGTACCATGGAAAGAAGTGCATTATATACAATGGGCAATATTGGTATTAAAGTTTCAATCTTGCTTATACTGAACCATGTCAGGCAAGGTATCAATAAATCCTGATTCGTTGTAATGTTTAATTAAAATTGAGAAATGTTTCGGTATATATAAGGTACTAATTATTTCACTCCAGACGATTGTTTACTCTGGGAAAGCACCCATATCAATAAAAAGCTCGGCCATTCACAGAAGAAATTCCCAGTGTTTTTACAACTGATTTAATCAAATGAGGGTAACCCTTTTTGAAGAAATACGAAAAGATAGCCAGAGAAGAGACATAACATGCTCGTATCTTTCCCATACCAGAAACGATTCCAATAAGAATTATCGAATGGACAGGCCAAACAAACTTTATACACACACAAAATAATAACAATGTACGACAATCGAAAAACCGGCAAAATTTATTTTATTTTGACACATGTAGGTGTGTATGCAAATGTTCTGTTTTATCAATTGTTGTTTTTGTCCAAATATCCTGTACGCCAGTAAAACAAATGGAAAAGAAAATAAATACAGCATAACCAACAACACAATAGGCGCTGTCTCTTTGTTTTTGTTTGTTTTTTCTTTTGTTCGCAAAATTATCCGTTATGCGTTTTTCACTTTACTTCCTTGCAAATTCGATTTTTCACAAAACTGTTACTTGCAATTTCCCTCTTCTCTGTGTCACCTCTCGTCTTAGAGATTCGACCAGTTGTTTTTTTTTCACTTCGTATTAAATTTTTGGTTGGGTTAGCTCCATTTGAATTGAAAAAGTTTCAATTAAAATTGAAATGCTTACACTTCGCTCCATTCGCTTTACGCGAACCACACGTCAATGTTGAGGCTCGTGTTGGTTTTGCACATGTGTTTTCTGTATTTATTTGATTATTTTGCCGAAAATAAAAACACACAACATCAAATCACGTCTACTTCGCCGATGATGAGATTGAAATGTGTGTGGAACTTGGCTTATGGAATTCAATTTCGATAGTACTCACCCTTCCAAAGTGCACTTCCCTAAAATGTTATCGATAGACAATGCGAATGCACGATATTGGAATCTATGTGACGATGTAAAATTGTGATATATAGATGTCGCTATAAAGTAAACAATTTAAGCTTCAAAATTAGATGGCAGTTAACATTACTTTCTTGCGTTTTCAATGGTTGACTAATGCATATTACTGAGGATACCGCATAGTTTTTTCATAGATTCAGAAGCAGGTTCTACCTGTTTACATATAGGATATGCGAACCAGAGGGCTGCAATGAGTATGATCGAGTAGGCTTGATCACACACACTGGAAATACAATCAAACTCAATCAGTCGGTCAAATGTAACATGTTCATTCGAGTTGCTCAAGCCAAACGAAAAAGTTGTGATCGAACATGTATTGATCGAAGTTTTGTGTTCGCAATCAAAAAGCTCAAATGAATGTTTTGTTTACGAACTAATGTTGAACAATACATACCGAAACGATCATCTCGGATGAGTATGATCGGTTTGATTTTTTTGAAGGGTGAGTGATTTGATTCGATTAAATACGAAAGATCGAATCTGAGCGTAATCATGTATTGTAGTTTTGGTATGGTTATCAATACTAGAAGCAGTACCCATTAAATAAATCGAAACAAATGGTATTTATTAAATAACGATTTTTATTTCATTTGGGCTTATAGTATACCAGACTTCAGTGGCTTATTTCTAAAAAAGAACACATTATTTCTAAAAAAAAAAATAAAATGGTCGGCAGTCTTGTGTCACCCTATTTGTACATTTTTCTAAAGCGATTACTTTGTCGTTCACTGATACGGATTTTAAGGGTTGCGATTCCTTCAACATTTTGTAGCACCAATGTCGCGTTAAATATGATGTTTGGCTATTGCTGTTCCGCAAGGTTTTATTACAAGTGCGGCAGAAAACAAAGCCAGGTAAAACCGTGTCATCTGATTTTAAAACATGAGATATGATGTTCCACACAAAACTTCTACCTCTTCGTTTTGTAGATAGCGTGTGGTTTCCATTTGCAACATTTTCGGTTACACTCTCACAATTTTCTTCCATTTCAAATATAGTTCGTCAAAATTACCTGCGCAGGCTTATTTGGATGGATAAACAATGACGCTGAGCGAACCCGATTCAATGAAAACAATCACGGTTGTGATTGCTCATTTACATTCATGTGTTCGATCAACTATACTCATGCTTGATTGGGAGTGATGTGATTCAAACTGAGCGTTCGATTAGATCCGGTCAATTCGAACGGTCAATTCATTCAGATCAAACCAAACGACTGCATCAACAAAAATCATGTAAGAAACCGAGTGTGGTTGAATTTTTGCATACTCGTTGCAGCCCTCTGATGCGAACCAGTTATTTGATGTTCGAATAAAGAAAACAAGTAAGCAAATGCTACAGTCGAGCGGGGCCGACCGTTGAATACCCTACAACACTATAATAAACGATACAGTTTATATAGGCGAGATACTCGAAAGAATTCCACAAGATATTGTGACAAATAATAAAATAATACCATCAGGTTTCGTTCTCTAATTTTCGAATATTAGCAACTTAAACCAATTTGCTCATTTCCAATTTATTGGTAGATGTTGAACTTAAATGGTCTTCCTAGATCTGGAACCAATATTTCCCAAAGACCTATAATATCTCAAAAGTGGCAAGAGATTAACATTTATTATTGGTTTTTGACTGAAATGCATCTATCTGAGATGCAGACATTCAATGAAATCAGAGTAAACGAAACAGTCAGAAGTGCGTCTTTCCTGTATTTGTGAATTCTCCAAAAAATCACTGGAATGGACATTTTCTTATTTTTTCTACAAAAGTTGGCAAACTATTTCACACATTGAATATTTTTGGATGGCCTTCCAAAAATTGCTTGGCTTTTGCAATGTCCTGTAACCCCATTAAAATGTGCGTGAGGATCGGGCGATAATTACGACCTGCTGACAATTTTGCAGTTTTTTGGTTCATTTCAACCCCTAAATATATGGCAATCATCTCCAAAAAGAGTAGGCTTCTATTCTGACCCTCATCTTATCCCCATGCAAAATTTCGTAAGGATCGGCCCATAAATGCGATCTGTATATGATATCCTGATATCCTAACTACTTAGTTTTGTTAGCTGTAGAAATATTACCAAATGTTTAATTCAAAATGAAAATATGCCAAAAATATGACAAAATTGAAAAAATATGAGAAAATGTTACAAAATCAATATTTTCATCTTTAGAGAGATATTTTTATGCGATTTTTTTAGACGTTTTTTGTTTCCTGCCAAGAGGCCATTCTGAATTAACGAGAACTGTCGAAATCAGTTCAGCCGTTCTCGACATATAAGAGATCTTTCAAGCATATCTTCTTTGATAGACATATATATCGCACATATTTTGCTATATATCCGATTTGTTGGATGTTAACATTAATGTAAAGATCAGGAGTAACCTTTTCATGTCTTTGTGATTTCGCGGGGATTTAAAATATTCCCGGTTTAATGAAACATTTTGAATGTTTTCAACACAAAAGATATGGTCTATTTTAACCGCTAAATATTATCCGATGACCACCCAAATTAGTAAGCTTCTTCCCCGCCCTAAACTCTAGCTACATGCGAAATTCCGCGTCGATTGGTCTATAATTGCGACCTGTATAGCTACTGCAAAATCCAACATTTTTTCAGTATTTGGTCCATTTCAACCCCTAAACATTTGGCGATCATCTCCAAAAGAAATAGGCTTCTATTCTGACCCTAACCTCACCTTCGGTCAAAATTTCGTTAGGATCGGACCATAATTGCGACCTGTAGCGTGATTACAAATTAACATGGACAGACGGACGGACGGACATACATAGCTAGATCGACTCAGCTCGGCGAGCTAGGAAGATCCATATATACTTTCCTATATGGGAAACCAATATTTCGAGGTGTTACATAAATTCTGGCCCAATCAAACTTATAATACCCCCAACACATAGTGTTGTAGGGTATAAATACTACCCATATTTACATACAGTGAGTCACAGTGAAAATGGTACACCTGTCACAAACCACTTAAAACAAATACAAATATAAAAGAAGTAAGTTCGGCCGGGCCGAACTTTGAATACCCTCCACCATTTGGAACAAATTAGAAAATTTTCAAAAAAATAAAATCCATTAAAAATTTTTTTAAAATCTTTAAATAAAGTACCCACAAGGAACTCCTTGTGTGGATTTTTCAGACAATTCTGATGAAAAATGTGGGTAAAATTATCAAAATACCGAATATCGGGGGGGTACCGTTATATGGGGGATATACGATATCGTGGACCTATATAGACAATTCTCTCTCAGGGGGTGAAGTACTCACAAGGAACTACTTGTGTGGATTTTAAGACAATTCCATTGAAAAGTGTGGCTAACATAATCAAAATACCGAATATCGGGGGGTACAGTTATAGGGGGGATATACGATATCGTGGACCTATATAGACAATTCTTTTTGAGGGGGTAAAATGCCCACAAGGGACTCCTTTTGTGGAATTTCAGACAATTCCATTGAAAAATGTGGCTAAAATCATCAAAATAACAAATATCGGGGGTACCGTTATATGGGGGCTATACGATATTGTGGACCTATATAGATAATTCTCTGCCGAGGTATAAAGTACCCACAAGGAACTACTTGTGTGGATTTTCAGACAATTCTATTAAAAAATGTGGCTAACATCATCAAAATACCGAATATCGGGGGTACCGTTACATGGGGGCTATACGATATCGTGGACCGATATAGCCCATCTTCGAACTTGACCTGCCTGCAGACAAAAGAGAGATCTGTGCAAAATTTTAGCTTCCTATCTTAATTCGTTTAGACTTACAACAGACGGACGGACGGACAGGGCTAAATCGTCTTAGAATTTTACGCTGATCTAGAATATATATACTTTGTTGGGTCTAAAATGATTATTTCGATGAGTTACAAACGGAATGACGAACTTAATATACCCTCCATACTTTTTTTGGTGGAGGGTATAAAAAGCCTTCGAAGTCAATAAAAATATTAAACAAGAGTCGTAAATAGTTAGTTTATTTTCTTTAAGAAATGAATATGAAATTTAAGTTCAATATTTCCACATCAATTTTCGAAAATTTTACATTAACAAAAAAAATTCATGTCAAAGTGAAAATGCTCCACTTAAAATTAAACTAAATAAAGTGTAATAAAACTAATTTTTAATATTTTGTTGGTCATCCTTTTTGGCAAATAACTGATTTAAGGCGATTGGGAATAGAATAGATTCCCACTCCTCCAAAAGAACCATTTTCAAATCATATTTGCTTTAAATATCGTGTTTTCGAATTTCTGTTTTCATTTTCTGCCACAAATTTTCAATTATATTTAAATCTGGAGACGAGGGGGGAGGTGGGGGGCTAGTTTTGATTACTCTGGGACAATTATGCAACAGCCATTCTTTTACAATAAGAGCCGTATGTTTTTGATCATTGTACTGATATAAATTAAAGGAGTCTTCTATGCCGAGTTTTTCAGCACTTTGTTTAAGGTTGGTTTTCAAAATGTTTAAATGTTGTATTTTGTCCATATTTCATTCAAAAAAGTGCAATTTACCAACACCAGCAACGGAACAAGCACCCAAAACCCTTCCCATGACGCCCACCGTGTTTAACCGTCGGACGCAAATGCTTCGGGTTCATCTCCTGATTGGGGTTTCTCCAAACGTTAACTCTGCCATCAAACCCAAATAAGTTATATTTGCTCTCATCCGTAAATAAAACGTTTTTTCATACTGTGAGCAAACTGCAATCGAATTTTGTGTTCTTTGAACTTACAAACGGCTTGTTACGTGCAAATCTGCCATTTAGACCATTATTCCGAAGAACTCTCCGCACTGTTATATTGAAATTTTGTTACAGCTTATATTGAAATGTT